TTATCTGGGTCGCTCAGGGGCGCTCCGGGTCTCTTGGCGCAGTTAGGGTCCCAGGCGCAGCACAGGATTGTTACACTATATCAACTGATTAAATTAATAAAAACATATTTTATTAAATTGTATTTATCTTGATAATTTATTTTAAATATAAATTGCTCATTAAAATTTATAAATATTTTTAAAAATAATATATGAAATTTTTTAATTAAAAAAAAAGGCAATATATAAGAAAGTTTTTTTGAATTAAAAAAGAATTAAATTTTATTATTATTATAAAAATAATAATTCTATTGATATAATATTTATACTTATATTTATTATTATTATTTTTTATAAAAATTAGAATATTAAATTATTAATATTTACAACAATAATATATTGAGCTTATAAATTTTACTCTTAACCATTAACTATAGTATCAAATAAATTTAATGAATATATGAATACAATTATACTTTTATTCTAAAAAATATTATAACTAAAAAAAAATAATTTTTTAAAATAATGAATTATAAACAAATAAATTTTTTATATTAACAAATAAATTAAAAGAAATTTAACAATTTTTATTCTATTAATTCATTAATAAAGTTAATGTAAAAAATAATAAAAGATAAAATAAGATACAATATAAAGTATACTATATGACTTGATATAGAGTATAAAATAAAAACACAATATAAAGGTTTAATATATTAATATTAGATATATCTAGATTTTTAAACCAACAATAAAAATATAACTAAATACTCTTTACTATTAAAATGTTTTTTGCAATTTAATCACTTATTCAAGTATTTTTAAATTATGTTTCTATTAAAATATTAATTAATTAATTAATTCCTTTCAAAAGACATAATTGATCTATAGAATTTTATATGTTAAACTGTTTTAAGATTTATCTTTAATTTAAAAAGAAAATTTGATAAATTTGTGAAATTTTATATAATATTACAATCAATTGAACAAAATATATTGTAAATAATATAAATAGCAATATAAATAACAGCAATTGTAGCTATAATAATAGAGAAAAGATTAATTGCAATATTATTTTGTTATATGTACAATAATTTAATTAATAAAACTTGTCTTTCTCGCCAAATCTGCCATCTAATAATTTCATCAGACTTGTGAATCACGTCAAAAATAATATAATCAATTAAATAAAATTAAAATCAGCAATCCAGGAAGTAAAAAGACTTTAATTGTTTAATCTAATATAAAATAAAGTGCGCCAACTTCAAGTTAGTGACAAGTTCACTATTAAAAATAACTGTATTAAATGATTTTTTTATGATGCAGAAAATCATGTAACAACAAAGTAAAATCGTTTAAATTCAAATATAATTCATCAATTGGTATTTTAAGATGTAATGTGTTACAAATAAATATTTTCTATCTCTTAAAGTGAAGATTGATTTATATTTTTTGTCTTTATAACAGTTATATTAGATATAGGTAATGAATATTTTAGCATTTTTTTTTAACATCAATGTAACATGATATATACAAGAGAGAATTGTCACTTTTTTAATCAGTACTGTAACTGCAGTTCATGTTAAAGTATTAATTTCAGTTCTCTTTTCGAAATAGAACAACCTTTTTATTGAGGCTATTGTTAACTATCAGGATTTCATTCGTCACCTTATAGTGATTATAAAAATTTTCGCGTTTTTATGTTATACGCGAAAATATTTGCTTTGCTTTGCAACGCATTTTTTTTTAAGTAAAAGATTATCTATTTATTGTAAAAAATATATATATAGTGATCAGATTGCCTACATTTAATAAAATAATATACTGTATATACGTACTGTAATCGATGCGTCTTGAGTTATGAGAAATTTAACATATATGCTATATTCATTTTCTTGGAAGCAAAATTCTGAATTTTCCTGAGTAACGGAGTGAAATCACGAAATAAAGATTTGACGAGAGAACCCACGATGTAATCGGTGGTTGTCTTTTATCATTAATGGAAAAGGAAACCGTCTTATTATTCATGTCTAGATGAACAACAATCTTTGCATTTTGATTGATTGCAGAATCTATCGAGTTGGCAGTACATATGTTGCCATTCTGACCATATTCATGAGAACCTAAAACCCATCCCCATGGTTGAGCTCCAGCAAACTGTGAAAAATCAAGTCCTTCTCCACACACATCAACCCAGGAATTATAACACAGCTCCTCAATTAGAACGTGAAATTCATAAGTGCCTTCACTCATGAGGTAATTTGTTCTCATGCTTTGATGAGCAGCATACTGTTCGAATGCACAGACAGTATAACCATCGTCACTTATTTCTAAACTTGGACCGCAGCCATTTCTATCCCATCTGATAGTAGGATTCTCATTAAATATCGATCGTGAAATTTTCATGCTAGCTTGAAATCGATATGAATCGTTAATCTTATCGGATGGAACAAGACCCAAAGGTTCGATTATTCTTGCAAGTATTGTTCCATGGATCTTTCTAAAGTCGATGAGTCTTGTAATAGGATCTACAATATTAGCAATTGATGTATGGATCTTATTCTCTAGCGGATCATTATATTTGATGGCCTCGAGTGATCCTTTGATCTCTCTCCACGGTGGAAGTCTCTCCTCCATAGTAGAAAATGCCTCACGAGATACCTTTGTTGCAGCTGCTAAGACGGCAAATCGAAAAACGGAATATTCATTAGATACAAAAATTTTCTTTTCGTCTCTTTTCAATAGCAGCAATTGTAAGCCTTGAAGCGATAATCTGTCAAACATAATGGAATCCAAGGAAATTTTGGCCACCGAATCTACCAAATAATTGATTATTTCATTGTCGGTTAGAGGTAACCTTAACTGAACTGCCTTTGATACTAATTCGGGTAATTCATTTTCATTTCCTCATTTATTGCATATCTTTTTGTAATATTCTAAAATAAAGTCTTTGAGGTTTGACAATTGCAAAAAATCTGCAGTATGAAATATTTCAAAAGCACTATCAGTTGTGATGTCCTTCTCGAGCACAAATCCAGTGTATAAATATTTAAGAATGACCATCATAGATGTCGCTTTAATGTTCAGAAATGAAATTTGCTTGTTGAGAACTCCAGTCGTCCTCGTAAAGAGCATCTTATCGAACACATCAGAACGGGCCACAAGGATTGCACAGTTGCTGTAAAGGACAATGTTGTGCTTGCATTTAATTTCCAAGTCTCTATATCGAAGATTGTCGATTAAAAGTTTGAGATCGTAAGTGAGGGAATTTCCGCGCACTATACTAAAAAAATTTTTGCTTGAAATTTAACTCAGCCGATAACCTGAATCACACTTAAATATATTTTTTGTAGCTTTTATTCTAATTGTTTTGATTATCTGCACAATAAGGTAGTAATTAATATCAACACTGCATAGGTTTAATTTCTAAAGCTGAAATATAGACGAGAAACACCATTGTTATCAATTGATTTCCATAATTAGCTAATGGTGCTCTCAAAAGTAATTTAATCAATAAATCAAAAAAAGTAAATGAACATATTTTTAACAAAAAAAATGGTTCAAACAATCTCTTTTTTTAGTGCTGAGGGAACTATAACGTGATGGTTTATTTAGAAGTTTTACAATTGCATTTGAGATAGCTATATAATTTAAATAGGCCTTTCCATTGCACATTATAGTTTACAATACAATCTCATTGTGGAAACAACAAGTTTGTATAAAATAAAATCGAAACGGAGAATTCAAGCAGACAAACTATCAATGAGATTTTCACTTTGTGTTACGAAGCTTCTTATTATAAATAAATCTACTTTTCTGATAGTATTATAGAAAAAAAAGGGATGATTCTCACGCGATGCTATATTAGGTATCGGGATGAGAATAAGAGGGATAAAGAGAATAATCGGAATAGAGGATAATTAGAATAATTGGGATTATTGGGATTATTAAAATAATGAAAATATGTATAAATATACTTAGCTTTTGTTAATAAAGGCAATAAAAAGATGCTTATCTGACAAATAAACTTTATCTGTGTAATAAATCCCTGTGTTTCATTTTTCTAGTGTTATATTTTTGTTTCACCTGAAATCAGATGAAGATTGATTAAATCAAATTGCCTCATTTGCTTACAAGACAAGAAGAAAATAGTGTTGGTGTAAACACAAACCATATAAATAAATAGTGCAGAATGGACTTACTTAGCTACTGTGTGATGTGTCACAACCAGACCTGTATGCAAGCAACAAACTTGCCATTTCCTATTATTATAACTTAAAATAAACAATTATAAATTTGCAAAGGAAATTTATAGTAAGATTATATTAAAGCAAGCAAAAAAGTTTATTGGGAATTTGATTAATTAAAATTTCACAATTTACAAAAAAAACTTAGATTACACAAGTTTTGTTTAAAAAAGCAGCAAACTTGTTAATTGATTTATTAATAATAGAGCTATACTAAATAAATAAAAATTATAAAATTTGAACATCTGATTGTTAATTTTTATTACAATTTTTATTAATTTATTTTAATGTTTCAAAAATTGATAATTTATATAACAGAATGTTGTTACAATAACATATAAAAATTGAAGTAATAAAAATATTTGAAGTGAGAAAATAATATAATGTTTGAAATATAAATATTAAATACTTAAAATAAATAAATAAACAATTGAATTTGTTAATAAAAACAATACCTTAAATAATTGCTTTTTTTTTTATTATCTATTATTAGCTATTATATTAAAAGTAATATAAATAATAATAATAATAATTATAATAAAAATATATATTATTTTGTAATTTGTATAAAAATTTAATTAATAAAACTTATTTTTTTTGTCAAAATTTGCTAATTATATAATGGTTTTGTTAAACTTGTAAATCAAGTTAAAAATAAAATAATTATTTAAATAGAAATTAAAATTAGCAATTTAATAAACAAAAAAACCATAATACAATTTAATTTAATATTAATATTAATATTAAATTACTAATAAACTTATTATTAAAAAAAATAATATATAAAAATTTAAGATTAAAATATTGTAATTAAATTTAAATACTTTATATATTATAAAGCAAACTTATAATTAATCAATTAATATTTATATTTACTTAAATAATTGCTTAAGCTATATCAAAGTTCTTATTATAAAAGTTAAAAATTTGATTAAAATTTGATTTTACTTATATGCATACTAATTTTATATTAATTATATTAATTATTTTATTGTATTGACTATATTAACTATTTTAATTTATATTACATATAAAAAATATAAAAAAAAAAATTAAAATTTTTTTATATTTTAAAATTTATAATTATTATTATATTTTAAATTTTAAAAATTTTATTTTTATTTGATTGTAATATAAATAAAAATATTTTTTATTAATATTAAATAAAATATTTTTACAATTTTTTTTAATAAATAAATATTATTTCTTTATTTAAATTGTATAATATCAGATATACATTATGAAAAAAATAACATTTTTACATATAAGAGTATAACAAGTTAAATGCTAGCTTGTTTACAATAACTATTTAATTAGTTTAAAAATATATGTGAAGTTATATCCACTTTAAATATAAGAGTTTATAACTAAAATTGATAGATTAACAATAGTTAAAGTTAATATAAAAATAGAAAAGAAATTATTAGATGATTTGAATTTGATTATATATTTAATAATTAATTTTATAGAGATATTGGGATAATTATTATTTCATTTAATACCAGTAAAAAGAGAGATATTTGCTATGGTACAGTAAAATATCCAAATTGATTTATATATATATATTAGTGCCTCAATTGATACTTTGATTTAATTAATGAAGTTAACTATTGAAAAAATATTGTCAATAATATTGCATATTAATTTTCTAGCTGCTATATATGCAAGATTGATTTATAATTATTATTAGAATAAAAGATACTATTGATAATATTAATAAGTTAATTAGCTTCTTCTAATATTATTAGATACTTAAAAATATATTGAATTTTAAATATATAAATTATATTTGAAACAATATACAGTATATCTAAATATTAATCTGAATATAATTTATAAAGGTTTAAAATAATAGAAAAACTCTTTCTCAAACAAATCTGTGTCCGAATAAAATTACCAAAAAAGAAAACCAAAAATTTTTTCTTCAAAAAAAACCGTAAAGAACCCTGGAGTGTCTTCTTCATTCTCCAAGGATTAACCTATCAAACAAACTCACACTTTACTTAATATTTTTATTACTAATGTTGACAAATGCCTAGCCATAATTTTTCACAAAAACAACAATATAAATATTGTATACAATATCAATTCATTGTCAATATTCACCTCCCAAAATTTGAAAACCCTTCTAAAACATGACTAATATCAGTATACCTTCAAGAAAATAGTTACGAAGTTCTTAAAGTAATCTCAATTTCTTTTGAAATACACAAAAAAAGACTTGAAAATCACCATACTGAAGTCAAAACCAACATTTTAAATTCTAGGTCTTTGAAAACAATGAATTCTTTTTTTGAATACCAGCATACTTTTTGCCTATTTGATAATGACAAAGCAGAAATTATAAAGGAACTAATCAAACAGAAACTCACTTACAGGCTTCATATCTTTTGAAAAAAAATTGATATCAACATTGATAAAGCAGTCAAAACTTTTTTCTTGAAGCAAAAAACCAAAATACCCATACTCTCTCCAAACACTTCTGCTCTAATTGAAGAAAGAATCAATAACAATAGTATATAGCTTAATTGTGAATTTGAAACAGCATATGCAACTACTCCTAAGCACATTGATAATCATTTCTAGCCTACATACAATAATCAAAAATCAGGTAATCTCTTTTGAACATAACAACAATTACTATAACACACATGAAACCAACATAGCCCAAAATATATATATGTTTATATTTAATTTGGACATTTTTCAAAAACCATATTATATTCATATTACCAAGTAACAATTAGTAAATAATTGGAAATCATATTTAATTCAAAATCATATTATCAATCAAATTTCCTTTTATAGTAATAAGGAAACATGTATAGTCTAAAAATCAACTGATACTATCACAATGCCTAATACATTCCTAAGCACAAACATTCCAATACAAACCAGCTCCAATATGAAAATCTATGAACACCCTTTCCCTATCCAATTAGTTAAAACCTTGAAATCTCTTCCCAATTTATAGGCAAATAAAACCAATAAGTTTCTTAAACCAACACAAGTTACAACACCCACTGCAAATAACATTAGAGATAACACATCTCCTGACAAATAGAAAAAAATTTTAAAACTATGCAAGGAATTTAACAAATGTAATAGGACCCCTAAAGCCATTGTTAACCTGTTTCTAAAATCAAAGCTAATCCAACCGGGTTCCTCAGAACAACTCTAAAAGGTATTTTCTCCAAAATTAAGCACAGGAACCATGATTTCTTTAGAACATTTGTAAGAATGAGCTGATTAAAGAACAATATTAGAAAGAATATGAATCCATTGAAGAAAAATTTCATTTCAACTATCACAAAGCTAATAATCTGGAATATATCACAAAATCAATTAAAAACAAAATCAAAAACTAATTAACAAAGTTCTCTTCATTGCCTATCTTAGATCGACAGATTTTACTCTTCTTAAATATTGGCAAATAGTTCAATTGCTAGAATATGGCTTCAACTTTTTAGTGAACCCAACTTTGAAAAAAGTGAACTATCAAAAACTATATCAAATTTGCAAAGCAATAATTCAAAATACCTACTGTTAAATCTAAAAGTTTAACTTTTCCGAAATAGGAAATTTCTCATCAAATATCGATTCAACACATCAATTCGCTAATAATAGACCTATAGTATTTTTATCCGCTGAACAACTTTGCTTAGAA